TGCCGATATTGTGATATTACATTCGGCACACACTGTACCAGTACAATGAGCTGCCACAGTCCTACCGAGAAAATAATATGCTGGAAATTATTCGGAATATCTCGTTAACACACTCCATCTTCATCCCCCGCCCACATCCACTCCAGCCGTCTACCACATCCACTAGTCATATTAAATAAGTGGAAGATTCATTAGCATCATCTATCGTCTCTCTCTCTCTCTCTCTCTCTCTCTCTCTCTCTCTCTCTCTCTCTCTCTCTCTGCATGTGACTATTCATAGCTCCATCCACCCGCTTACGTCTGTCTCTCTATCCGTCCATTTTCATTTATCATCGATCTATCATCAGTCTTCCCTATCCATTACATTGAATTTCGCTACAAAAAAAAATCACATTTTGCAGACAGAAATTCGTGAAGTTCAAATGGTAAATTGCGAAATTTGTACTTCCTTCTTCTGGTTATTTCCGCTTTTTTTTTCAGATTCAACGATAATTTAATTTCATCTCCTAAAGAATTGAGTAGAAACATCTCGAGAGTATAAACAAAAATGAAATTAAAAATCAATACACGGTTGTTGTAATTCAAGAGGTATAAACTTTTAGACTAGGGCAATAGTTCGTTGTGAAGACGAACAATTGAATTCTAAATTTTCTAAAATTTCTTACCAATTTTTAATTTCATTTATGCAACATTCTATATCTGTCTATTCTGCTATGCTTTAAATGAAAATGATCATTGAAAATCAAATACTCCTGTCGATAGCAAGAAAAAAATAATAAAGCAAAATTGATATTTGATTCAATAGGAGTTGATTATAGGATATTTTGCCATTCGAATTGATACATTTCCCGTCATTCTGAGACAAATTACCTATCATCATTTTCTCATTGATGCTTTTTTTTCTTTTTTTTTTTCGAAATGACAAAAACAAAAGTAAATAACCATGTCTAAAAATTCCTTCCTTTTCCCACATTAATACAGGGAAGCGTTTATTTTTATGAAACAACTGCAAATTGATTCGTTCCTCTATGAAATTAACATTCGTCACGCTCTCAAACTGTAACACCGGATCTCCCGGTACAATCCCTCGGTACATCCCGCATTTCTTTCCCAGTCAACAGCGTTCAGTCATTAATGAAAGAAAAAAGCTTTATAGTCAACGAATGAAAATAATCAACAATTGCTATCCTCAAATTTATATTTCTCAAGAAGTTGATATTTTATCAAATGCTGAAAAATGTTTTATAAATTCATACAGTATCGATTCCTATTTAAAAAGCTATTTTAACAGATCAAAGATTATCAATGAAAATTTCATGAAAAAGATGCCTATTAGTGTGAATATTCCTTCCTTCTATCCAATGTGTAAGCTCAATGTACTATACCGCAAGAAGTGTGCCAGTAATGGTACAAATTAAATTGTTCAATCGATTAATTGTATTTTACCTAAGCGGCGCAGTATTATTTCCTTTGATAATACTATTTTTACTGGTGTAATTCTTAAGTAACTGCTGAATGATGAATGGTTATCCTTCATTGATTACTGGTAAAATTTTGATAATTTCTTATACGATATAGTTTCAAAGAAATTTCACTTTACGCCAGTAAGTGAATAAATAAATTACCTGAAATGAGATTAGCAGCGGAAAACAGAGTGGAAGTGAACTTATTAGACGACAAATAAATGTAAGCATGAAAGAAAGTACAACTGGAAGAAAACGGAAAAGTGGAATGTTTGTACGAGAGAAATTTTTTTTTTTTTGATTTATTGTACAAGTAGTTACATTTAAAATCAATAAAGAATTTTAAACAGCATTTAACGGAAGGAAGGACAGTAAAAAAAAAATGAATGAAATGGTTCTAAATTGTTGGGTGCACCAATTTTGGCAATGTTTGATTTCAAAATCGTTTAACAAAATTTTGGAAATTTCATAAAATTTACCCGTTATAAGTACTTCAATTCTATGTATTTTTTGATAGAGAAAAAGAATGACATATGGTTTATTTCACCAAAGGTGGTGAATGAAATCATTTTATGATGATATCATGAGATTGATCTCGTTTCATTTTCATGGCCTCCATAGTTCATAATCAATTTCCCATGTGCATCAGTTCACTCCTTCCTTAGCTCCTTCAAATGTTAATTTTAATTTCTCCTAATATTGAGTATGATTACATTTTGGGCTCTGAAATTTACACAGCGCATAGATGACGAATTACCTTAAAGTGCAACTTACATGCGCAAATATCCATGCAACATTTTCATACACGAAAATTTTCTCATCCAGATTTCATCCTACAAAATCATAATGGAAAACACAAAAATTGGGTCATAGCTTAATGGAAAGCACAAAAATTGGAATTGAATAACAACAACAATAAAAATTTCAAAAGTACTTAAAGAGAAATATGATGATGATGAATGTTTAAACAAGATTTGAAAATGCTGAAGAATTCCTGAACCAGTTCTTTCGTCTCTTTAAGCAGTGTTAAAGGGTGGTGAGTACGACTGCTAATGCTTTAACATTGATTAAAATCTCTTCCTACTTGCATAACATTTCATAACCAATTTTTATACAAAGCAAAGTTTTGAATTTAAGTGTTTGGAATTGTTGAAATTATTGTGAGAAAAGAAAAAGTTTAAAAAAAGGTGATAAATACATTTATATATTAAAAAGAAGAAAAACTGATGCCATATGCGATTATCAAACGGAATGTATTATAATGATAAAGGAATTAAATATGAATATTAAAGTCTATTACCATTTAGTAATAAATGAAAATTTCGAGCTATTTGGTTATCTTTCACATTTCAGCGCACTTTACAATGTATTCCAGTGCATTAAATATTGCCTTTTTTTCAATATAGGAGAGCGAAAAGTATTATATCGGAAAGTTTTTATATTCATGGAATCAAGCTTACCTTTCGATAGGCGAATCATTCACTTATTAAAATGATGATGTTTTATAGAAAAACCTCATTTTTGTACTTTGATAGAGAAGAAATATCTTGAGTAATTTGTGGATTTTGTTGATCACTGATAATGAATAATCATAGGAAAGTCTGAAGATAAGAATGATGAAGGAAAATACCCTTGACAGCTCTTCATTCTCAATCATATAAAAACTAAGAGTGAAAATTTAACGCTTTTGAATCATCAACCAGTATGAATTTTTTTTCTACAGAATATTATATTTATTGGATAAAAAGAAAAAAATTCTTAAAAATCGATAATTAGTAAGAATTTAAAAATGCACAATTTTTAGCTTTCTTTTTTCTCATCACATTTTTTTTTGCGTGTGAAATAAAATTTCTCGGATCAGGTGAATAGTAAAATTAAAATGATAATCTTCCAGAAATCAATTATGCATGTGTGTTTCTCAGTTCAATCTATACATATCATTTCATTTTCAATTGATGGAACACCCGAAAACTAGCATGGAATGAATTTCCTTGGTAACCCGTATAGCTTTCAGTTCTTTTTCAGGTTATTTTCAACAATTTTATTAATCATTAGCTGACAATTCAATGTTTACATTTTCAAATTTTTTGCAATAGCTGGAAATTCTTCAATGCGTTGAGTTTTTTTCTGCTCCCAACTATTTCAGCCTATGTAAAAAGGAAAAAGAAAGCGACTACGACATATTTAAACAATGATTAAAATGGCCGTTATTACAACGCTTCCTTTTCTGTTGAATCCAACCAGAACTATTCAGTGATATTTTTGCTAGACTTTTCGTTGGGGAAAAAAAACGTCATTGGTATGTTACCAATCGGATAGTGAATGAACAGAGAAATTGCAGAAAACAAATGTCATTCATAAAATTTCACCAATGAAGAGTCGAATTTCAGCAATAAAATGGGGTCGTCACAAGTCAGTGAAAATCATTATTAATCATTATTAACAGAATTAGACTCAACTTTTATTCTGCATATAGTTATCATGTTGATGGCATATCAGCATTCAAATTACGAACTGACCCTTATAAATGAGATGGAAAAGTCTAAGAATAAAACCAAAATATAAATTAATTAGCAATAAAATGCACATAATGTTAAGGGCAATTTATAGCATTAGATAAAGTTGCTAGAAATTTCGCATAAATACGCTAATGATAAGTCATTCATATTTCCATTGCTTATATCTTCGCTTAAGACCAAATATCGAAGCGAGTTTCTTTCGTGGTGCAAAATGGACTTGCGGTACTCGTTTGGAAATGGCTAAACCAGTTTTGTGCCTTCAATTGGGTGAAGCTTCAAACGAAAACTGAGTAATAAATATATCAGCTAATTTATTATCAATCAATCATCATTACCAATCAGCGATTTTCAACGCTATTTTTGTATGAGCACTCAGTTATAGTTATAACCAAACTCGTTTTCATACTTTACCACACTCTCCTTCACGTATCTTATCCAAAATATCTTTCCCATTCTTATTCTAATTTGAAAACTTCCGTTGACATCAACCTAGCTGCCTCAGTAGTGACTCATTAAATTTGCTAGAACAGAAATTCTCCTATCGAATTCACTACTACTGGTTTTTTGCTAACCGAAATGATATACCTACAGCTATCTTGTTTTTTTATTGCAATATCCACTTATTTAATCTAGCCAGTTACACACTTGCATCATTTAGTAACACATATTTCGGCAGTTGATAGCACCCCTATGCGACACTGAAAATCAAATTCTCAAACCAAAGGATGTTTTAAATTACCTATTAATTTTCGAAAAATTTTTGCGGTAACTCCCTATCTATCGGTGACAGTGCAAAACATAATAAGCAAGCGCCGATCATACGCATAATAAGTAAGAATTCGTTCTGTTTGCTAATATACAAATTTCATGAGATAAATTTATTCAGTTCACTGTAATGTTAATAAAATCATAAAATCAGTATATCAATATCAACGAAATATCAAACGAAAGTATAAACATGAAGCACTGGAGCGAAATGTAAATACACGCGTTCATCGGATGATTGGATTCAGTAATATTACATGTAACCACGAAACATACTTCTTTGATTTGGCGCACGAGGACCGCGTGGGAACACTCTAGGAAAACCGGCAGGTCTAGTGGGACGGTTTGGTAACAATTCACGACCATAGAAGGGATCAAGAGGATTTCCTGGACTAGGAAAAGAGAAGGGATTTGAGGGTCCCATATATGGATTAGCGAAAGGATAAAATGGACCCTCAGGAATATCAGGATCAGGATTTATCGGTCCGTATGTTGGATGTGGAAAAGACACACGAACAGGAATATTACACTGAGTATCAGGTTCCAGCACATTTCGCACAAAACTATGCTCCCGCACATGTCGGATGTATAATCTTTTGTATGCTTCGCGATATGACTCCTTTTTTAATATACCATAATCTTAAATAAAATCTCTATTTCAAAACAAGCAATATTTTACTTCAAAGATTCGATTCTTTAATTAAATGGACCGAAAAATTGATTTAAGAGGCACAGTAATTACCTTTTCCGAAATCCCTTCGACAAAAAAATTTCCAAATTCTTTCCATTCCATGACTTCGGCATATTTTAAGAGCATATTTATTTGTCCTCTCTAATCGTAACACACTTTTAGCATCCAGCATTTCGAACAAATCTTCAGCTACCACGCTAATTCCAAGCAAACGTAAAAACGGATTTTCATCTAAAAATTTATTCTGTCATGAAAGTATTAGCTGCATTTGATGAAAAATAACACAATTTGAGAACAATCCAGTTCATTTTACATATAATATGCTGCATGTACATTCCATGCCAAAGGAAAAGCCTTTTTAATTCCAAAAATATTACGGAATACTAAAAAGGAGAATTTGTGCATCATTTATTTTCATACTTTATTCTACCTTATGCAAGAGCTTCTAATTGAAATCAATCTGAATAAATGGATTTTGGTTGCATGTGAAAACTACTGTGAATAGTGTATTCAAAATTCAAATATTCAAAGTAAAGCAAGGCTCTAGGAGTTAATGATATATTCACAATATTAATAAATGTATTTTAATATTTAGCAAGTTAAAATGCTTACGCCCAAGTAACGCCAACTTCAGCGGTGAAATTAAACACTCGGAAACCCTCCTTTTTAAATCATTGCTGTCCTCCTCTAAAACAACTGGTTCCAGAAAAAGACGACCGAAGGGACGATACACGCTAGCAGTGATGTGAACATACTTCACCATTTGATCATTGTAAACACGAAAATCGATCTCAATGGGAAGAATTGAATTAGAATGACGAAATTTCCAACGTGTATCACCATCCTTGTATCCTACGCGCTGGAATCAGTTCAGCTTGCAAATGTGTTCTTTTTTAAATGGAGTTAAAAAGACAGGAAATTTTCATTTTAACTTTTAAATGATTCAACCGAGTTAACTATAAATTAAATGCAAAAAAAAACAATTGAATAAATACCACCTATTTTCACTTTCTATGGCATAACGTGACTTCACAACTGCGAGAACCTCTAACTTTTCCATCAAAGAGAAAAAGAATTACTCACTAACTTTAAACCGTCTTATTCAAATGATTTACCGAGATTATCGGAGTTAACTACTTCGATACTTTCTGATAGTGGTAAAGGGCAAATAAGCATATTTCTCTTCATCGCTCCTCCCTCCTTCCCTCTCTTGTCAGTGTTTCCTTTATATTTCCCTTCGATATCATCCACTATATTGTTCTGCCTGATCTACCACTGGCCGCTTGAATTACCGTCACTAACATAAAAAAAACAGTGATAATATCAATATTCTATACAGCGAGCCAAATTTCGTTGACATGCTTGCACCAATCAATTGTAAGCTATTATCACAAAAATATTTGTATGCACCAATTTTATATTTGTGTGACCATACAAAGGTTAAAATGAGATCCCCTTTATTCATTAGAGAATACGCTAAAGCAAAATATTAGTGTAAAAACCAATCCTACTTCAAATCCTTTCTGTTTCATTTCATCAAGCACAATTTCGAAAACGCTTTCATTTCTTTTCGCATTGTCCAAATTGCTACTTCCAGTTTTTGCCAAAATTTCTGAAGAGCTTCCGTTGATATCAGCAGAAGAAAACCTGAATAACAAAAGGTCATACGTACAGTGATATCCTTAGAGTTGATTTGAACTTACAATATGGCTTAGGAACGCTCATGATGCAACTGAAGCGATCTTATTCAAAAAAATCTTCGTAAAATGTGTTCAAGATCTCTTCAAATTACTGAATTTTTTCTCTGAATAATATGAATAAAGAAAAAATAAGCAAAGCACGTACCCCTTTTCATTTACGACCAATCTTAGGCGGTCTCCACTGACGAGTTCTACATCTGATTCAAAAATCTTTGCATCATCTACTGGCAACTCACGATTACCGAAAAACAATGCAAAATCGCTGAAACTAAACGCATCCAAAGGAATCAAATACACTGAAATTACCACAAATAAGAAATCAAGTGGACTAAAATACATCACTAGGTCACAGGAATACGAAATCTTCAGGAGTTCCCGATACTCAGTACAGTTATCTCCGAAAATAAAAATAAAAATAATAAAATAATAACAAAAATAAATAAAAAATACATTCGTGGTGCGATTATACACTTGGTAAGATGTACATGGGACTTCTGAAAGATCCAGTTAAGGCTATTGGAAATTGATTAGTTGCATACAAGACCCAAAGTTATTACAACAACCTGACCCACTTCGAGCAATCATATAACTCACATTAGTTAAAATGTAGGGGAAAATCACTTCATACCGTTTTAAATTGAATCGCTGGACCACTTGACGACGCAAAGTCGAAAAACTCCAGTTATCCACTCCATCAAAGATCTCTACCTTGCCATCTGGACTCTTGACGCTCAGCTTCATCATTTAATATCTGGGTTATTTCACTAATTATCTGGAATCTATAGCATCTTTAGAAACCCGAATTTAAAATAATACGCCGAATACGACCAACACCGGATTAAATCAAACTTGCATTTGGAATATTTAAAAACAATCTCAAAATATCCAGTAATTTTCACCTGATATAAATGATTACCAAAAAACATCGATGAAAACAAAAAATTAATCGAAATCAGAAACGAGCTTTCAGAAAAGTATTCATTGTTGAGTGACGATAACAGACCCAAAAAGACAAAGCTGTAAGCTTTATTTGCAAGCTTTATTTGTCATCATTTCTACAGTCTTTTAGTTTTTATCGCATGGATTTCTGAGTTACAACAGTGTTTCAAACATTAATGAATTTGCTTGTTGTTCATACTTCTTTAAATTCTAAACAAATTCTGTAAAATCTTTTCCATCCTGAGCCATGGACATCTGAGCCAATTTACTCATGTCACACCTACAAAAAAAGTTCATACTTAAATAAATTTCATTATTATTCATTAACTTATTTGCAAACATTTAATTAACTTTGATAAAAATTTCCAACACACACACACACACACAAACCGCAACTTCCTGAAATGTGAAACAAGGTCTACCGTCTCAAATTATATGATTCCATGTAATAGGGTGGGTAGTTAATACCATCAGATGAACAGAACACTTTGTACAGAAATATTCGCAGAATTTCCAATAATTTTAAACAGTAAACCAGTAACCTTGTAATTTCGCGTAAAGCGATGGTAGCATAGGAACCTGAAGGTAACGAAAATTCTAAACCCAATGCGTGGAAGTTGCCAATCCCGATACTTTCTGAATCTATATTTCCTTCAAAATCTGTTTGCAATTTTGTCCTGGCTTCGGGATAAGTCAATATTTTATACTTCACATTCTGCGGTTTGATTATAAGAGGACGCATCACAGCGCCTATTGTCCATTCTCTAGAAAAAATACAAATATTTGGTAATAAATCAATTACTGAGAAAAGCCTATTTAGTTTTGCCCCATAGGAGAAATATTAATAAACATGCTTTTCTAATGCTTCGAACATTTCTACTGTTACGCCGTCCTCAGCCATTATTTCTGCATACCAATCTCGGACTGAAAAAATATTCGTAATAGTCGCTCGTAACAGTCGCAAGTATACTGTCAGCAATTAAAAGTTAACCTATTAAATATTCCAATTCCTTCATAGATAAAACTTGAAGTTTGATTAATGAAATCACCATAACAGTTCAAAAATGAAACCAACAAATTTTCAATTGAAAAAATGTCAATGCTCTATCCCCATGCATAATAAAAAAGTGGAGATTTCAAAAAAAAAATTAAAACAAACCTTCGTTACTAGGAAACTTAACAGATCCTGATATTAGAGGCAAAGCTACCTCTTCGTTTTCAAAATCTTTGATTATTTGACCTCTAAGATTCAAGTCACCGCTTATCGCATGAAATCCCTTGTTTTTCACACGTCGAGTAACAACCTTTAATTCAAAATGTTATAATACTTCAACGTATTACATTTTTCACATCCTAAGAATATACATGCAAAATGGGTTCTCAAGAGTGTTTGTAACTCGTTGTTTGCAATATTAAAAAAAAATTACAAATAAATGGTGACATAAAAATCACACGCTTCTGTTAAGCCACAGCACTGAGAATGAACAAATACCTTATTCCACAACAAGCTCTGATAAGCATGAACATAGAGACTACGTATATTCCGGGTTAACTTTAACAAAGCACCACGATAATCGCACTTATTCTTGCTGAGAGATGATAAAAGTTGCCCTTCGATAGTAGCATATGCCTGGAATTACAAGAAATAAAGAATTGTTATAAATACTATAGAATCCATCGCTCTATTCCAAAAATTTTCAATTTTTCGTTGAAAATACTATTTTCTACAACATATTGCTAACCACATTTACCTGAATGCCTGTGAGCTTTTTCAAAGCAACAGAAGCGTTTCCTGATTTATTCCACTCATTTAAAGCTTCTCGAATACTTCCTGAAGATCATTAAATAAAGTAATCTTTGGCTGCACAAACATCACAACATTGCTGAAATATCTTATAAAAACCACTAAATAAACGTTTACCGCGTGCATTCCGTGGCTTCAAAATTGCTTTTAAAGCCACTTCCCATTGTTTCTTCAAAATTGCAATGCCAATTTCCGCTGTATTAAAAGCGCATGATCCAAAGCGTTGAGTTCCGAAATAATTGATGAAACCGTTTGACTTGAAATCATCAATCCTACTGATCAAATCAGCTTCGTTGAACGGATGAACATCTCTACAATTGCATGATGCTGCACTACAGACTTTTCAAGCAGAAGTAGTTCTGACTGTTAAACTTTGAAATTAAAAAAAATCATGAAGGAATGCAAGAAATGACTAACCTTAAAATAATTTTGAATCTATTCCCCCAAAGATTACCCAACTTGCATGGTTCTGAACTTGAAGTAAAATCAGTAAGCCTTATGCCGCGTAGTTTGCCGTTAAGTTTTTCCAATCGTTCAATTTCACATCGATACAACGATACTCGTTGTGTTGTAAGAGCTCGACGATCCTTTGTACCACAAATACCAAATGAAGAGTTTTTTATCCTAAAATGTACTTAGATGATATCTATTATATATATCAAACAAAAGCCGTGCGATAAGAAAACTTACCCCAACAACTTAGAAATCACAGAAAGTGCATAGTGCGTATCTTTGTTTTCCTTACATAATGTGAAATGAACATAATCAGGGCGATCTGTTGGCCAAGTACTTCTTTTCCTACAATAAAGATGACTTTTGAAATTGTGAACATTTCAACCACCAACAGTTCACTGAAAATTACGAAAATTTAAAATATATTTGCAAGTATCGTCATTCTAATTTTTGAAAGTTATCACTGCAAACATTGAACAGCACCTAGTTCGTTTATCTGGTAGTAGAACTCGAATGGCGCCGGCAACTGTTTGTGAATCCAAAACGCCACTATACCGGTTGCGTATCCAGTCATGTATAAGGGTACGCCTTTGTTTATCCATACCCTGAAGAAATAAAACACAAACCCCTTCGATTTAATTTTCTGATTCAACTTTTTTAGCTTAATATATATATATATATATATTTCATCAATAATTTTCAATACATATTCCATCCGTATGTTGATCACAGTAGTGAGCAAATTAAATAAAAAATTAAAGCGCCAACTTCAGTTGGTATTTCGACAACATTGATTTCATCGTTGAAAAGAGCATCGATTTTTGAGACCATCTCTTGCGTAACGGCTTCTGGAATAGAGATATCATTTACGTCCGTCCGGCTGTTCTTTACTTCTCTACTCTCGACAATCGCTTCCGTTGTGGATGGCAAAGATATGTCTGAAAGAAATATCTAAGTTACGGTGAAAACCATCAAACATATATATATATATATATATATATGCACATATATATACGCAAAAATGTAGACACAAATGTCCTACTTATTTTTCTTAACCAGTCCTTCCTATTTAATGGTAATATATTTGCCGAAAAACGAAGCAATAAATAATCATAGCAAATTTTTTAGTTACATAAAAATGATAAAAATGCATTATAATGTAATGCATTATAATAATGTAAACAGTGATACATGAAATAATGATTGATAGTTCGAACTATATACAGAATATAACACCATGGACAGTATGCAAAGGTAGTAATTGAACAATTAACTATAAGGTAATATGGTATAAACTTACCAAGAACAGTTCCATCCGGAGTGATTTCATTGACGATAAAATCTGAATATAACTTTTTTATCGTACATTTCAGTTCATCTCGTCCGCAGCTCATGTATTCTGTAATAAAGAAATCTTCCTCCATTCCTGAAAGTAAGCGTTCGAAAAAAAACATAATTGTTACAGAAAACAATATAATGAACTTTTACATATCGATAGCATTATTAAACTGCAATATACATGATATATCTTCTAATCTTTCATATTTATTACCATCAAAAAGATTTTTTCATAAAAAAATCGAAAAAATTATTGCCATTATGTGAATTAACCATTGGATACGAAACTAATAATTTTTCGTCCGACTTAATGTTGCAAGCTTCGCCAGATTTTACAAATGCTCCCGAAAAATTCGGAAGGAACTTTTGTGAGTTTTCCTAAATAAATGAATATAGCATTAGTTGTCGAATTTTTCTTTTCATCCGTTCTTTCTATCGCTCCAATTCTCTCAATAAACGCTTTCCTTTCGGCAATAAACAGAGCGGTTAATCGAATGCTACATAGCAGCACCAAGTAACAAAACAGGTCTGTCAATAGCATATTCCTGCTGAATGGTATGAGTTGGTTCGGCAAAGTTTTGTTTACGTCATTTCTGGTTCAATTATGGAGAGATGTATACATTGAGGTGTTGATTAATACCAAGATCATTGAGAAGACTTAATGGAAGAACCGACCAGCACAGCTTAACTCTGAACAATGACCGAATTCGTACAACTCCCTCATATAGCGAGCAGTGTAACATTTCCGTGGGAAAATCGGTTGGTTGAGTCACTGGGAAAATGGCGTTAACAGGAGAAGTGACTATAAGTATTGATTGCTGTGCTGCAACTCACAAATACAAATATCCATTTAGACATTCTAACCAGTTAATGAATATTGTTGAAATTACGTGAGTGGCACGTGTTGACGTAAGTCGTACACTTTTAACTTATTATTATTATTTCAGGACTTTGTTACGTTGTGAATGCTGTTATTTCAAAGCACTAATGTTCTTTGTTTTTCTTTATAGGAATATATTGAATAAATTCATTCGATTTGTTTAGTACAAGAAATGAATAAAAAGTCGTCAAAAACCGATGAAACACAATGTAGTGGTGAAAATTGGATGAGTAATCTGCCTCAGGAAGTTATTGAGAAACCTCTTGTTTGTGTTGCTATACCAGGTTTCTGTTTATTAATTAGAAAGATACCATCTTTATATCTTAAATTTTTAGCGATATAACAATTAGTAATTTATCATTTAGTCATCTATATTGATAGTAGATGTGACTATTAGCAGTATTCATTATTTTCTACCTAGAAGGATTATAGTTAGAGACGTAAATTTATTTCTTACCTTACCACATTTACTCTAACATTACTTTTCTGAATGCTTATTCATCATCGATAATGATGAATAAATCATTCAGAAACGAAGGAGCCGTTTTGGGAAATAGATAGGGGTGTTTTGTTAAATACAATTATACTGTTTTTACTTTGAGGATCACACGATTCGTTTACACAACCACTATTTGATAAATATCCCGTAGCAAATGACGAAGGTCGATTTATCCGAGAAATTGGCCGATTCCGGATGGTTCGACGCTTCATCCGACGGTGGGCCACAACACAACGATATTCAGTGGTTAAGCAACTTCATGCCGGTGTACGGTACTTTGATATTAGACTCACAATACCGTCACGTGCCAAATTAGATGGGGTACATGTTCTGCATGCTCTTTATGGAAATAGCATTGAACAACTTCTGTTACATATAAATGCTTTCTTGAACACTCATTCAAGAGAAATCGTCATTCTTGATTTCAATCATTTTTATAATTTTAACACCATTGAGTATACCAAATTTTTGAGAATGGTGGAAAGTGTATTTGGTCGGAAATTATGCTTCCCAGAAGAGAATATAGCTAAAATAAGCCTAGCTAGTATGTGGCAATCAGGTTGTCAAGTGATAGCCATATCAGCAGCGGAAACATCAGCTCATCGAAGTACATCCTGGATATGGGATTCCAGCTGTATTCTTAGTCCGTATGCTAATGTGAATCGGAATGACAAATTATTTAAATTTCTTAATCGAACAATGCGAGATCATAGACAAGGCTCAAAGAATGCGTTCTTTGTAACGCAAGCAATTTTAACAGTAAAATGGTTTGATATCATCATGCATCCATTTTCCACTCTTGAAAAAGGATACGCTTTGAAATGTACAGAAGAAGCCATTTCTTGGATTACCACTTTCGATGAACCTTCTTATTTCAATATTATCATCTGTGATTTTATTGATCGCTTCGATTTTTGTAACGTCGTTTTCTCTCTCAACACATCATCCAGCAAGGATTCTGCAAACAGTAATTGACCGCTTCAGAGAAGAGTAAGTTGTAATTTCTTATTTATGACCATTGAGTACGTTTTGGGGATATTCAGTTTCCGAGTAAATATCCGAGGAAATTAAAATACTTGATATGTAGAAGGCATCTGATACGTGGTGCTTATCCCCATCGTGCGCAAATTTTTGCCTTATTTTTCCTGATTTTGCTTTATTTTTTTCCTCCTCTTATGTACAAAGTGCTTTTTCGTTTGTGTATGTCCACGATGTAAGTGGAACCGGTATCTAATTTAAACGGTTTAAAGTCTTTTTATCGTATTTTCATATACCATTAGCAGTTATATCATTGTAAACGAAGTGACTTATTTTATGTTTTTTTTTGAAGTTCCTAAAATTATTAAAAACTTAATTGTTATACTTAAAAGTGTTTGGTAAAAGTATGATAATAATAGTTTTGTTTTTGGAAATCAATCAAAAATTGCAAATCTTAGAGTGTATCAAATCCTGAAATTCTTATGCTGAAGTATTGTAATTCTGTCATTTTCTTTTCTAAACTTCGCACGGTCTAATGGATTTAAATCAATCTTGGCTACCCTTGATTAGCATTAGTTTATTTGCTATAATTTCAGTTTTCTGCGATGTTGTCAGAAAAATACCTATTGACATATTCAGGATGTTCGTTGTGCATCCATGTAAATTTCATAGCTTATTATTCTGTTCGCAAAAATTAATTATTGGTATTTCATATTTTATTTTAAAAGACAACAAAAGAAAAAGCTTTAGTGAGAAAGTATGCAGGACAAAACCTACTTGATCGATATACCCCTAATAATAAATATTGCTTGATGGACGTTGCTTGTTTTTTCCCCTTCGGAGAAAAAACAAGCAACGTCTATCAAGCAGTACTTATTTCTCTCTCCCTTTCGTCAAGTTTTCATGCGTTGTTGCAAAACGTATCCATTGATCATGATGTCTAAATTCTATTTAGATTAATTTGTATAACAAATGATTTATCGTTTGTTAGTGGCAAAAGTAAATAAAAATTTGCGAACAATTTGTTTCACATAAATTGGAGGTAGAAATTTATTGTATTATCTTTAATCGACAAGCAGGCATATAATGGCCAATAGAATAATTGCCATGGTAACGAATTAGAGTTGGCACCATCTGCCTTTCTCTATGCTCTCAATCTGTCTTATGATTCTGGACTTGGCGACAAGCAAATGTGGCCGATGTCGTCAGTAACTTATTCTTATCAATTTGCAGATTACATCACACATTAATAAATTATATATACCTTTCCAAAGTTCAGTGGATAATTTCGTTTGAAACATCATTCTTAGATTTGTTAACTTCCTAAATGCTACGCTCGTGCTGCTCAATCAGTAAACGTTCAAAACGCGAAGAGCAGTATTATGTGAAGAATGACGATTGCGGGAGATATTCGTGGTATTTGATTTTATTATTAATTACCAATTTAATACTCGATCGTTATTTATTGAAATAGTATGGTTGGTCAATGCTGTTAAGAATAGCAAGAGTATGATCAAAGATGTCATCACGTTTACGGAAGCAAGTAATCTCCAGTGGAAAAAAAAATTGATTAAATAATAATCTCATTAAAATGATGTATTGTAGAATAGTCAAACCAATTGAAATATGCTAACGTCTCAGAAAACCAAGAATATCCTAATCTTAATTATTTTATCATTTGAATTGATATTTATCTTTTAGGGAATTCTTTTCAATAGGTTTCATATATTTTGGAAATATAAAATCGAAGCATTATTTCGTCAAAATGACAAATTTAGGGATAAAGAAAAACCCGATCCAGCAAATTATCATTTCGTCAATCTTTATGATGAAATTGCAATTAAATCAGATGGTCAAATTGCGGGAGAGCAATTCACTGTCGAGAAATGCAAAGTTGGTTTCCAAATGTTAGAACCGTTTTAGTTAACAATGACAGTAATAAAAGGAAGGCAAAAAAGAAGGATGAATAGAATCAATAATCGAAGAGAAATCATTTCAGGGATGTTCCATACTGTTGCTTGATCATCTGGCCACGGTAAATATTGATGATTGTGAGGAGTGCCTCATTGTTACTGGCCCTTGCAATGGAAGGTTAAGTAAAATTTTAGCCATTTTTTCATGTAATACCTTTTATCCCAATTTCTTCAAGTTAATAAAATTTGTTTTGAAAATATTTGAAATATTCCTAATCGGATGATTGTCTTTTTTTTAAAAGAATGCATGTTGTACTGGGCATTATACTCACAAGAATAAATATAAAGCCCATTCAGCTTCTATAATAATTTAGAACATTTTTCAAGTGCAGAAATTTAGTTTGTTTATCCGAGACTGCAAGAATACCACATTGTTTACTATTTGTCAGCAATTCCGAAGTCGAGACTGCATTAACACTGATGTATTTCTGTTTTGCACCACAAAACCGATCATCGAATCAAGTAAATTGATGCGATTTCGATCGCTTACTCTTTATTATAACAAACTTGAAGGTTTGATTTTCAATTTTCTTCTTTCTGAAGAATTTTTTTTTTATTATTGTCTGAATTATTCAAATTTCCTAGATTAGAAACAAATTTCCTAGATTAGAAACAAGTTTTCTAGATTAGAAACAAGTTTCCTAGATTTCCTAAATTTGGAGAATAATCGTGATAAACATTCGCAAGTGAAATCAGATTGAATTCCAACAGGTACCATATAAATGGTACCATACTTTCAGAGCATTTGATGAAGTCATCACTAAGCCCGTTCATTAATCAGTGGAATAGTATACACGATTTTACACCCGAAGATGTTCCTAATTTTGAAATTTGTTTAACAGTAAGTTCTCGGCTGATATACTGAGATTAACAGTGTATTCTTTTTTTTAAATATCGTAAGAAATACTGTACTCCAAAAAAAAATGCGGAATATTTGACGTTAAAGGAATTCAATCTAATTGAGATTTTCTATTAACTGATTAATGTTGCTTTTCACATATTCATCAATTTTCAAAGAAAGTTTTTGACAGGTTTTCCATACTGAACCACACTGGTACTTAATATTTTCAATACAACAACAAATAAAACAACGTGAGATTCTGTTTTACATTTATTGCAGGAATACGATAAAATTAATAAGATTGATATGGTTAAAAATATCGACAGCGTTAAATTTATTCCTGAATTATCAATTCTTCCCTTATATAATCTTGCAAACAAAGTCACCGGCAAGGTTAGACAAATTCCAATCATTGTAATAAGATATTTTGAAGAAAATCATTGTGTTGGCACGTACTAAGAATGAATGTTTTTTAATTTTCAAGAAATTTTTACAAATTTTTCGAAAAATTCCACAGCTTCTAATAATTTTTTTGGTATTATAGAAAGTGCTCATTTTGTGTATGAAGCGAGATAGCGAAGATTTAATTTCATTTTATCGTCGTATATTGGAATTTTTGAAAGAGATATTAGCGCAAGGTGCAAAGCTTATCACAACTAGAGATATGGTAATTCGAAAAAAGGAGCTTCCACTTTTGTTCATTTCCAAGATATATGCCAAATTATCAGGTCAGTAAATTCTTATCATTGCTTTTTTTTATTTACATACTCTAAGATAAATGATAGTAATAAACGTGCCAAATAAGCTTAACTATCAATAAGAATATATTTTTGGTAATGGATTTAATAAATTAACAAAAGCATAACTTCCATCAATTAATGTAAAATAAATAAAATCCTAATCGTTCAAGATTTTCAAAAATCATTGATTGTTCCGTTATTCAAATTGAGCTAGGAAATTCAACTTTAGCAAGGACGGATAGGCGATTATCTTGACAGTAAGTTAACTCTTCCTACTGTTATTTTGATTGAGCTGTTGTTTATTTTCTGATTGTAAGCACTTTTGGCACATATTTTGCTGAGAGCTCAAATCTGAAATATAAAATAATCCAGGTAGACTGGTAACACTGGAAATAGCATGGAATCGAGAAAAAATTGAGGAAAGTGTCCGGATGATAAGCGATATGGTGGAAGTTGTAGAAGATGGTGATTTCGAGCATCATCGAGCCAGTCTATATCAGTTTGCACAAATGCAAACTGATATTTGTTAAGTATAATTAATAACGTTCCTTTATTTGTTTTATTTGATAAGCGAGAGAAATTTATCAGTGATTGGTTACAGAAATAAACGACAAATAAGTCATTTATGCTAACTGAAATGCATCTGCAAATTTTTAAAAATGAATTATTAGATCTTATGAATGGATGATAGCTCAATTGCCTTACCGTAAGAAGGTCACCGAAATATTCACCGCAAATATTGCTGAACTAATTTCCCGCTTTCTACTCCATAAATCTCGAAAATACCGGATAGCATGACGAAGAACACAACAAAACACTTACTCATAATCTTGCAATAAAACAACTCTTCCCTGTCAAAATGCTCCTGAACTGGCTGTCTTATATCGAATCTCCCAGGTTTGGTGCCATAATAGAAAATAAATTCTGTGAAGGAATGCTTGGCCTTGGCCATAGCCGAGAATTGCTATCTTTTGGCTTATTTGCGAATGGCTGGAAATATGGGGAAGTGAAGGGAAAGTTTAATTTAGAAGGAGGAAAAGAAGAGAGAGGTGGGAAGGATTGCTCCAATGGACAGCTGCAGAGCCGTGTGTAACTATAGACGGTCTCGTCAACGATAGTTGAAGCTTTTCGCTTTAGTCACACTTCAAGTCCATTTCATTTCATCGCCATATGTGCAGACCAACAGTAAGCTATCTTTCGTCCAATTCCATCCCAAAAATTCATATTTCACAGAGAGTTGAAGAACTTTTAGTTTCTTTCCGGGAAGTGAAGTTTTGCCGGTTGAGTATTTTTTATCAGTCTAATTTCAAACCAAATATTTAATAGCCTGATAACTTTTGCATTAGCTTTACTTATAACATTCTCTTTCTCTTTAGTCAAAAAAATACCATTTTTTCTACGTAGGAAAATTGTGCAAATTATTGCTTCCTAATACCAGTGGGTCTTTCCATTATTCAGAATTCTGATTGAAACATTTAATAGGCCTCAATTGTATTCTTTCTATCTCATCACAGCCAGTTATTTTTAAAAGAATTCTGTGTAAATGTAAGCTGTAGATTCAGGTAAAAAGTCGAAATTTTGATTCTTTTTGTGGAGGAAAAAACACTTTTATATTGTTTGGACATATCAATTACTTCCTTTGTAAAAGTACTTTTCTTCTCACTTGTTTATTTTCTGGAAAGCCTGCAAAAAGATGGACATTGTAACAGGTCGTATCAATGTTGTGATGTATGAAGCTTAAATTTCAAATTTCCAACAAACCTAACAATGTAGGCATAGGACACGTGATGCCAATACATTATCACCAACTTTATTCAATTGTTGGCTAATCTTTTCCATATTCATTCGAGAAGTAGCATATTTTAAGCAGCTCATATGCAGCAATCCAAAGTTATGCTAGCTCTGCAAAAAGCACCCAAAAAATCGGAAATCTCACTGCATACTTCTGTGCCCTCATTTATTTCCATTTATCTTTTTCTTTGTTTTTTGATGAGAATATCTTTAATTATTCTTACCACTGAATTGTTTTGATTTGCCTCTTCTGAAGTTTGAATTTTTAAATAAAATTTGCATCAAAATTGTTCGAAATGAGATTGAAAAGTTGCAGCACATTTGTTTGTGGCATATTTAATTCTTTCTTTTGTATAGAATGTATTTTATTTCGCTTTTTCGGGATTGTTTTTCTTTTTTCTAATGAATAAACCGGCTCTTTTTTTTTGTAAAACGAGTGAAATATATTTCAGATGGGAGATCTGCTGAATCGAAATTTTTTCATATCGAGAAAAGATTGAAAGTGAAAGTGTACTGTTTCATAATAAGATTTTCACTCCAATATTTTTTTTTTATCCTAATTCAGTAAAGCTCAGTATACAATTTATCAATTTCAGTGCATAATTCGAGCCATTACTCAATTTCTATTTTCACCGTCTTTTTATAATATTCAGTAGGTTATGCAGCAGAGAATTCAGTTTTTGAAATTTTTCTCTTGAATTTTTTTTCATTAAAAAAACTCGCTGAAACAAACATACTTTTATGCAAATTTATATTTCCTTTCATATACGAATCTTTTCTTCGAATTTAAAATGCACTGAACTTGTCCACTCTGACCGTCATTCGGTTGGCATTTTTTAAATAATATATGGAATGGATTATAAAGAAAAAAAGAAACATGTATTCCTTTTCTTAACATATTTCATTTTTCAAAGTCCATCTCTTCTCTCCTCATTGTCTTGATTAAACAAATTCATTTTATCTAAGTGAAACTGCGAATAGTTTAATCATAAAGAAAATGAAATGGAATAATTCAGTCAGAAACGAAACGTTATGCATCTTTCTCAGAGGAAAGGAAGATTCATTTTGCCTTAGCTTGTAAACAGAGGAAACTCTATCGCCGAGAAGCATGTTATACTGCAGCATTACTACGAAAAGGCCTTCAGATTTATCGCTCAGCAGGGAGAACTTTACATCCTTCTCGAAATCATTAAATATGCTCCGAATGACGTCATTAATTTTGATAAAGTTGATAGCATAGAAAATCCTTATTCTATAGGAACACAACCGAGAGAGCAATAGCAAATTAAAAGTTGTAAATTAGCAACATTTCAATTTTCATTCAAATTTTTTACTTCGATTAACTTTGAGCATATTATTTCACTAAACTACTTGCAAAATGGTAAAAAGCAACCAATCTGTTTAGTTTCATGGGGAGAGAAAGAGAGAGAGAAGGAGAGAGATAAAAGTAGAGGAGAAAACAGTATGCAGAGAATGATACGAATATTCTCGTTTCTTGGCTTCGAAGTGTTTTGCGCTTCATGTGCAATCTACCCATATTGATCCTCCTGAATGTTTAAAGGCTGAACAATTTGGTTGAAAACTTTCATATATCTTTGTCCGTTTAAAGAATTGCTCATCAAAGTTGAAGTAGTTTACATTTCCCTTTCGTGCATTATATGGATCAATTTATTCAATTTCTGATGAAAAGCACATTTGTCTAAATGCGATGGATAGCTTGTTCTGAATTAATGAAATTGAAATACTTCATACTTTTTTGCTGAAGTAACTATTGCCATAAATTATTGTTTTTCTGATGTCAATTACACGAAAATGAGATTTATTGTTGAATGAAATCGAAGATATCAGCAAAATGATACGCGAATTTGATATGTTATTTTTGCAGTAAAATGTTTTAAAGCATTCTTTGTAGCATTTAATAGCACTGCAAACTGGTTTGAAGCAGTAAATGAATGGAAATTAATTAAGTCGGGAATTTCATTTCTCTTTTTTTCTTCACTCTTATTATTCCATCACTTCATTTAGAAGATTTCATCTTGTATTCCAAAATGAAAAAATTAGGGAAATAATAATTGGTTAGAAATTGCAAATATTGTGAATTTTTTATTGTTGCTAATGAGACGACTCTCCTCAACTTAATGACTTTATTGTGTTGTGGTTTTATTTTTTTTAATCAATAAAATTGATGTATTAACGTTACCTCAGTATAGCTGTAAATAATTGGCATATCCATTTATGAAACATTGATAGACAAAATGCTCATTCATTGAACAGAAGGAGTAATAATGTGCTTCGAAAAATCATAAAAATGAAAACTGCAAATAGATAATTTTTGATAGAATTATAAAATTGACATAAATATTGAGGGACTGTGTGACTGATAATGTAACGCGAAACGATGAATTTTATGAAATTTGTCTGTAAATTAAATGAGGAATAAGTTCTGTAAATTAGATGATGAATGAATTATGTAGTAGAGAAATTTAAGACATAAAGTAATATTGATCCATTGATACATCATTCCAATTTTTATTTGCTAATTTTATAATATTGGAATACACTTCTTGAGTAATCTGACAATTGTTATCGTTAGAGTAGCTGTTGCTAATGATTGTATGACATTGTAAAAAATCTTCATATCAATTCTTCAACTTCATCTTTATTTTAATGCCGACAATTTTTTAACTTTCATTGACAATATATTAGGATGAAAATGATTGTTTAATATGATTTTGTGAAGCCAACAAATTTGCTAATTGCTTGTGGTACATTTTATATTTATTCAATAAAAGCTTGTTATCATTCATAAATCGCTTTTTCCATTGTTTTAGCCTGTATGATTTCTAAATATTTAAATAGTTTAAATAGTTTGTAACTTCTTTCTTTAACTCTGTAGTTCTAATGCACAATTTTTTTAGCTAATTCAGATTTCGAAAAACCTAATCGCATGCTTGTTGCTAAGGTTCACTGGTGTGTTGGACTGATTTTCATATTATTACACTCCCACTAATATTTCTGTAATGGTCAGTTTTAATTTCATATTTAGTGATCTGAAATTTCTTATACCTTTGTACAGTATTAGCAAATGATAGTGATCGACCTGGAAGAACACTAAAAGTTCAATTATGGGAATGCTACAAAATTAGCGAGACCAATGTGCACGAAATATACGCTTGAAAAAAAATCAGCAACGAGCTTTTGGCCATAAATAATGTTCACAACGGATTACATTTATACAAAATAATACCAAGTTTCCTTTTATTTGGAAATAATTTCTGGTTGTTTAGGTATTTTGTGAAAAACTGTATTTCTATAAGTTAAGTTTGAAATTGGATCGGTGAATATGTTAAGTCTAAGTATTTTCTTGATGTTTTAGGTCTAACTATAATTAAATTTCATTGCCATTGGTAGTAATTAATTTTAATTTTCGTTTATTATTTACAGTAATCTGACTCATACATATATCTACATTTTCCATCAGTTTTTTTAAAAGTACTCTACAATTTGTCCTACATCATTCCTTTTCTTTTCTACCACTTATTTTTTAAATCTAAATTAGTTTTCTTTCACTTTGTAAGTTGCACGATTGCAATATAGCACTCTAAAGTTTTATTCACCCGTTGAAGGACTTCATCTAAAGAGTGCTGTTGAAATAAGGAAAAAAATACCCATTTCTTAAAATTATTTTTGCTTCACGAAAATAATTACTGTAGTTCTATTGCTTATGATAAGTTGTTTGTAATTTCATCGATTGCAACGTTCTTTTAAAATGTTATTCTTCAAATATCAAACTTGCAATAAGATATTTTCATAATGTCGTTCATTAACATTAAATTTTCAAGTGAAAAAAAACGTCCAAGATGTAATTGTATGTGAACTGTGAACTTAATACATGAGTTTTGATCACAATTATAAGAAGAGAGAAAAAGGATAAACAGAGTGTGTTGAAGGGTGTGAAAAGGATCATAGATAAGACGCAAGCGGGATTGACAAACAATGAAAATTTGATGAGTTACTTTTGTGGAACATATTGAATGGCGGACAGTCACAATTTCCAGACAATAAATAAGCAACAGTTCGATGTAATACCACCACCTCCATTAGAAACGGATGAAAAAGAAAGACAACGTCTTTTTGGTAAGTGTTTTGAAGTCGAACTTTAATTCGTTGCACTATAATTTAGTATAAACTTACCTAAAAGTGTAAGTTTGAATTTGATTCTTTTGAGCCTCTTTTTCATTGGGTTTGAACAAAATATTCTGCTTTTCCAAATTTTACAGTTATGAAGAAGTCTACTTCTGA